TAAAAACTCGCGCGGAGCGCTATAAAGTCGTCAGGCCGTTAACGGCCGTAGCGCTCGAGCCTCCGAAGGGATCGCGTGACCCTGAAGGAGGTGGAAGAGAAGGAGGTGGCGGCGGCGGCGGCGGTGGTTCGCGAGGCCGTCCGGAAATCGCGGCCGCCCTCCCACAAGACATCGAGTTTCTCCCGAGTTCCTCGGGAAAACGTTCCCGCGCGCGTCATCGTCGACGCGCGGCCGTTTAACGCGCGACGCGAATGTAACGGCGATCACGCGGCGACACGAATTAGACTTTCAGATGGCGACCGGCCCTACAGGCCGCCGCCGGCGACGGCGACGGTTCGGTACGTATTTCACGAGATGACGGCGGACGTCGCGCTAAATCATCCGCCCGGTGACCGCATCCGCTTGCCCAATCGAGCGACTGGAGGAGCTCCCCTTAACGACCTCTTGTCACGCCTGCGACATTCCCGGCCGAAAAACGCGGAGTTAGGATGCCTGGCATCCTTCTCCTCCTTGTCCTCGCCTCTTCATTCTTGCTCCTTCCTCTCCTCCTCCTCTTCACTCTCTCTTTCTCGCGCCGATATTAATATTGTTCTATCAGAATTCCAGCGGGACCGCACTCCCGCCAGGCTTTGCGCGCGTGTAGGATTTCTCAACGATTTCTCATAATTCAAATGCTGGGTGAAGCGAGCGAGATCGATCCTTATGGATCCTTATGAATGGTGACGCCGGGACTTTTGAATAGATTTGGATTCTCTCATATAGGGGACCGACATCACGCGCAAATTTTTAAGTGATAATATTTAATGAAAATTATATCGTCGAACACTTTCATTGCTATATGAATTTTAATTTTTTAGTACCATGTCTTGTATCAATTAAGAATACAAGCGCAGCCCTCTTCGGGCCAGTAAATCCTAAGTTTTCTGTCAAAGAGAACATTCTATCTAACACCTTTGAGTATCGAGAATACAGCATCTTGCTCACATCACTGCGCGCTACAAGCTCATCCGACGGAATCGATAGCTCGTCGATTAAGCCGAGAATGAGATTTCTTCACGCGCTTCGCTCGTACGCCAGACTGGATTCCGCGTATATTTCGCGTTTCTCCTCGCGAGAGTTTGCGTTATACTTGCGAAAGGGATATTTCTCAAGGCGCCACGGCGCGGCGCGATGTGAGAAAATACGACTTTACGCGCCGCGCTGTCACTTTTATCGCCGGCTTCAATCCGGCGGAAAAGTCTTGTCTTCGGATATGCACGGCTGTCATAATTCACTGCAATTACGACGTTCATGAAGCGGGCCTTGAACCGATTCAGCCGCGTAGGAAACTCCGATACAGTCACTCCTGTCATTAATTTCTATCAAGGAAACGAGGCCCCGCGCGAGTGCCGAGTAATCTCTTTTGATTTTATTGTAACGAGGATTTTATTATTTCCGTGGTGCATGATGCGCTGTGAAACAAGGAACGACCGCTTCCATGGCTAACTAAATTTATGTATCTTCCTTACGAGCGCCGCACGAAATGAAACGTACGTACATCAACATTCTCGCTTGATAGTTCAGGCGCTACGAACGAATATACTAATTGGACGGTTTTTTGAATTCGCAATTAAATTCAATTTTAAACTTGCATTTAATTAGACATGTATCTGATATGTATAAGAGAAATCACTGGTGATCTCCCATTCGCCGCTTTACATTACTCGGCAAGTTTTTTTAAATCAGAACTTTTACTCGGAAATTATCTTCTCGCAATGGTGTATCGCTACGTCCGTGTGCGTAATAAATTGTTAACGCCGCCGGTGATCTTTTTTGACTTCTTTACATTTTATTTATACTGCCAATTGAAATATCGTAATAATAAATACACAGCCACCGGATAGAATGCGAGGAGTGAGAGAGAGAGAGGGGCCGGGACTCCTCGTGCGTGATAAAAGATACGATGGGGGAATCAAAATATCCTTGCAATCAAAGGAGCCGAAAACGCTTAATCCATCGGGCATAAACTCCCGAATATTATGATGCCAAACGGCTTAGCGTTGGGAAGGATTTAACATTTCCGCAGAGCATATTTTAAGGAATCTTCACACTGGCAAGGAAACACGAGATTTTATCCACTCATCCTTATCGTGAATTTGTTTATCTATATTATATATACATGGTCAGTCGTTAATCCTTCTATTGCTTGATTTTTATCGTTGTACCGAATGCCATTGGAGTCACCCACCGCTGACTTCATAAACAATTCCCGTTCTTACGCCTTCGGCTTATTTCTCCGTTGCGAAATGGATTCGACAAAACGAAAGAGAAGAGTTGTAAATCTCTGCTCGTACATTATGACCATGTGTCCCGCGTCTTCCTAACCATTTTCGTGTCAGAATCCCGCTATAACGACGATGATTAGACATTCGACTCGATTCGACCGTTTCTCGAGAGGAGAAACCGTCGAGAAACTACGGTAATACGTCACGGCGAACGGAAGCTGCGAGGCGCGTCCTTGGACGATCGTGCGCGCGACATCTTCGGAGAGGTCCGAAATCCGATATGACGAAGCAAGATCACACGTCTTCGTGACCCTTATCTTTATCCTGCTGTCGCACCTGATTCGCACGCAAGCGAAAGCGCGCGTAAGCGCACGCGAGAGCGCGCCAATGGATACCTGGTACCGCGCGCGGCGTCCCTGGGTCCTGAGACAGGCCTCGCGCGACTACCTGGCTCGCAGGTGCACGCCTGCGGTCGCGTCCGCGGGCTCGTGCGAGGGCGTGTGTATCCCTGACATTGTAAAACTCGGCGTTTACACTTGCGTAGCCGATTGGATAGGGCCGGCTCCCTCTAGGACGGCCCAGATCCTTCAACAGCCTCGTCTTCCTCTCTCCTCGCCGATCATCTTGTCTCCGTGGCCCTCTCGTTCCCTCTCGCTTTCTTTCTCGTTCTCTCAATCCTTCTCGCTCCCTAACTTCGGCTTCGAGTTCACCTCGATATCGTCAAACTGCCATCTCAAAAAAATCCATGTTCTCCAACCTGCTACCGCAAGCGCCTTCTTCCGGCCGCGTTTGGCTTCGAGATCCGTCGATCGGGTGTACCGGACGACGGAGGAATATACCGGAGATACGTATACGGAAAAAGATCGCGACGCCATGTTCGAAAATTAGCTACCGATTTCGATAACGTCGCGCGCTCGGGTATTACATTTCTGCGATGATGTACGTCGGTTCCTTTGACTATATAAATATGGACTGCTAGTCCCCCACTTTTACTATGTAAAAGACAAATGCCCGCGATGTCGCCGAGCTGAATTATTGATTGAAAAATCAAACTTCGATTTTTAGGCTCCACCCCAGTCAGTAAAAAAATGTTAAACGTATCAAAATGTATCAAATGTTATGTTGAAAATTGATTGATGAAATAGATTTTGACAAATGACTTAAATACACAAGAAAACACAAGAGAAATATGTGTTGTCAGATATTGAGTGAAGATTGCATCAAGCACTTCCTGTTAAAGACATATACCCGTAAAAAATACGAAATTACTTTTTACTCAACCTAATAAATGTTTCCGTATGAAGTAAGAAAATTATTCTATTGCTATAGCCTTATCAAAAAGACATGAAATTTTCTTTTTGCAAAAAAAAACGACAAGTTAATTTTCTCAGAGTTTACTTGCACGACGATAATTTTTATTAGTGACACGCGTTAGATTTAAAACGAGTCAGGCAGATTGACGCACGTGTACGCGTCGCGATCGCGAGTCGGCCGTTAATTAAAAGTACCGCCACGTGTTTATCGCATTTACGAGCTCGCCCCGGCTCTCGGGCTTCCGCTAATTCAAGTTGCTCTCGAACGAACGCGGGGCGCGGAATGCTCGTTTCCATCTAATTATAAAGCAGCCGTATTGCACTCGTATCTCACTTGCGCGGTTAAAGGATGGGGAATTCCGTGCACGGCGGACGAGGCACGCGGCAAACGTACGTACAGAACCTAGAGATCCGGCCTCAATACGTCTTGTTGACTCACTTAGCGCAACACGGCAAGTTCACTAACCGTATAGATCGTCACCTCCTAGTAGGAACTATTTAAAGTGCGGTGCGCGCTGCGCTCCTCTCTTCTTCTCCGTTTCTGCTCTGCTCTGCCCTGCCCTCCTCTCCTCTTCCCTCCGCTTCGCCGGCGGCAGTGGGCTGATATAAGATGCAACAGCTGCGATCGGATCGTGCGGCGTGCGCGAACCGGCCGATGGTCGCCATAGCACACGCGCGACCATTGTGCTGTCTTATTACAGGTTGGATCTAACGAAAGCACGAGAAGGGGCGTTCTCTCGCCACCGCAAAATTATTATTCGCGACACGCCGCGCTAGTCGACAGGTACACGGAAAGAACAATTTTGCTGAATCCAGATCTGAAAATAATTTTTGTTCAATAATCAAAATAATTTCGTGCAAAAGTCAAAATTATTGCTAGAATATCAAAACGTTTTATAGCAATGCTTATCAGTTTTAACATTCCAACAAATTATTTTGATGATTCAATTAAAAATTATTTTCAGATCTGTTTTTAGCAAAATTTTTAGACCTTTCAACAAAATCGTTCTTGTCGTGTATAATTCCTAAAATCGCGCGGATCTATACCAGGATGTGTCGTGCGCACTGGTGGACCCATTAGCAAAATTGTGGTTAAAATATAGTCAGGAGTAGGAATATTAAGATGCCGAGATGAGATGAGAATTTGATCGTTTTCTCAGGATTTTTTAAAAATGTACACAAGATTCCCTAGATACACGTTGCGGGAATTATGTATATACTTTTTATAGTGAATTTTGATGACGCTTTATTTTTGACGTTCGTTCTTTACGGTTTTTTTTTATTCATACTGCGACACAAAAATTTTTAAGTTTTTTGATAGTGACAGCTCTATTTGAGAAACATGTCCGATGTATGACTTGCAGCTGTAGCGTAACTTGGAAAATACAATGTCTTCTGCAGTAATACATGTTCCGTTTTGTAGACATGCCCTTCGACAGCACATGCTGCGACACGCCGGTAAGAAGTACAAGTGCGGTCTTCCGGGTTGTCCAACGATACTTCGTACCGCAACCGAGCTGAAGACGCACCGCAGGTTGGTCCATGACAACATCGAGAAGCAGTATTCGTGTCCTGATTGCTCCTACGCCGCTAAAACGAAGACGCAATTGCGCAGGTAAGCAAAGACACGGGATTACAATTCATTACTTCCACCTCGGTTTAGTATAATAAATTGCACCGAGAGATTGTACCTACTTTGCTAATAAAAATTTTTAATGCGCGCAGAGCAAGATTGTATATTTTGACAGTGTAAAAAAAAAAAACGAGAGACGCGTCTTGTAAATCATAAATCGTCAACTATATGTGGAAATTATGAAGTTTTGGATAAATCATGAGCTTATATTAACTTCGTCAGACGGAGATGTCTAGTGCGCGCGAGCGCGCGCGTGTGGCATTCTCATCGCCACATGTGTCGAGCGCAACGTCGGCGACGTGTGCGACGACTATATATACGCGTCTAAATGTTACGATCGCTCGATATACCTGAACTCGTTAGCGATCTCGAGCTGAAACGGAGTAAGGTGAGGTGACGGGCATCGGGATGCAATCGAGGGTTCTTTTTATCAATTCAGCCCACGTGCGATCCGCACGGTTCCTCCCCTCCCCCCCCTCTCACCCGTCTCGCGGGGGCGGGGAGGCTGGCGGCATGACTTCTCGGACTGCCGATATTATTGACATTAATTTTAATCGAGGTCCCCGCCGTGAACGACGCATTCCTGCGCCATTAATCGCGCGGCTCACGGCTCACGCGTATGTATGATCGATGCCTTCGAGGAAGCGGAGAATTAATTGCGAGGACGCAAGTACTCGCGTCGCGCGCCGCCTCGCATACGTAATTGCGAGGACGCGGAGGACAGTTGGGAGGAATCAATCTTCGCGGATTATTGATAGAGACAATGGGGAGGATATAATTTGAAGAGTAATTTATCGAAAATCCGATTACATCTCCGTGGCGCGCCGCGCGGCGCATGGCCTCGATACGGCGGCAATTTTCGTACCGCCTTTTATCTCCCACCTCCTAGATTTATTCTCCGGTTATTTTAAGGCCCCCCGAACGACGGGGTCTGTATCTGAATTAATTCGCGGCTCAATGATTCATTCAGACACCAAGTATTTTCATCTTATTCAGCTTTACTATGCGCGTACACGAAGAGATTTTTAAAGTGGTAAAAGTGCAGATTAACCGGAAAGGAATAATTAAAATGAATATGAATGTCTTATAATTATTAGCATTATTATATCTATCTTCCATCTCGTTAAATCAAACCGATGCAGACGACAGCACTTGATCGTTAATGCAACAAAATATATCATATATTTATAGTCTTCTATTATTGTTCTGTTATACTTTTGAGAATACAATTAAAAATTATGATATCGTGGCACATCACGTAATTGTTGTGATTCATTCAAACTAAAAAATAGTCTCATAAATCGAGCTGTCAATTGAAAGGTATAAAGACGACGATAATAGACTTATCTCATTCATCAAAATGAAGAAATTCTACTCTAACCGATCGGAAAGTTTCTCTCTCTCTCTCTCTCTCTCTCTCTCTCTCTCGATATTTGATCATACAACGATCGTATCACCGATCGTGTCGCTTTTCTGAGAGAGAGGAAAAGGAAGAGAGCGAGAGAAAAAGCGTATTTAAATTAAACCTTATTAAGGCTATTGTGGCGCGGGAAGCGCCCCTAATAAATTTCGCCTCGTTTGACACCGCGCTTTTTTCCCCGCTCCACGAGACGGCTCTCGAAGAAATACGAATGTCACGAGTAGAGAAAAAGAGAGAGAAGGCGACGGGAGAACGAACGAGAGGAGGAATGGCGCGGGGCGGCGCGGGAGAGAAAGATCGAGGTGGAGGACCGCGAAAGCGGAAGTTGCGTGCGGCAGCCGGTTAAGTGCGGGCAACCCGTTATGATCGTCCGCGCATGGCCGATGGTCGCCGCGATATTTCATCGCGAATTGAGTACTTACTACGTGAGTCGAACTCAACGCAGCCGCAGAGTGTGTCGCGCGCGAACCCTTCTCCACCGACGCTCCTCTTCCGCGTACGTCCACTCGTATCGGTTTCCCCTTGTACATTCTCTCCTGTTTCTCTCTTTCTCTCTCCCTCTTTCGCTCCCTTTCTCTTTTCTCCCTTTCTCGCCTCCCCCCATCCCCCCCGTACCTCCCTGCCGCCCGCGAACCCGGCGGAGTAAATCACGCGGGATTTTAATTAAACGTGTCACGCATCTCGAACCTGATATACACGTAGCCGCGCGGCCAACGGCTCCCTCGTAATATCGCGCACGCATATCGCATCGTTCATAATCACCGGGCCGCGACTGCGACGATGAACTTCGCGGAGCAGGAGGAAGAGGAGGAGGAGAAGGAGGAGATGGAGGAGTGGAGGACACACTTTTGATGCGATCCCTCGTGCTCCTCTTTCACAATAAAAATAATATATATTTTAATATATGCTATCGCGACCTAGTTATACAAAGATACATTCGATCCAGATGTCAGATAGGTGAGGGGACGCGTGATATTTGCAAAACGTTGTTGAGGACTTAATAAATAAATTAACTGCCGTCCTGTTATTTTCAATGCGTTTAAATAAATTATTTCACCTCCTTCTTTTTTGCGATCCTTCGCGTGCTAAAATTGAACCGGAATGTATCATGCAAAAGAGAACTTCAATTGACAGATTCTGTTACTTTCTTTTATCATATCGAGGCTCTCCTACATGCTTGAGAGAATCGATGGCGCGCTGCAGGATACGCATACAGATTATAAATCACTATTATGAGCTCACTTAGTCGTTAGTTACAATCGTTGATTTTAAGGTATGGCTGACAGATTTGCTGTTATAAATCGACTTATCGCATGCGAGGCTGATAATATTTCCGCTACTGGAGACATTCCAGAGGGTATCGCCTCTTGTTGCTCGTCTGGCCTTCCTTCGCATGACAAACTCGTACATAACCCACCTCCTTTTCGCGCGGCTATCACGCAGTAACGGCTACTTTATGCGCGATACCGGCGTGATGCCCCGGCAGATATATTTCCGAGATTAGATACTCTCGGTATCGACCTCACCTCGGTGCATAGAAAGTTTATCTGGCGTTAATAGCCGCGTTGACCGGTATTAGCGCACGGGCGTTAATCAGACTTTCATAAAACGCCTCGATTGGCCCCAATAAATTTCGCGTCCGCTCAATTCCAATGGGAATTTTCATTTAATGGCAATAATCGTGCATATCGGATACGTAAATTCGTATCATTATGCTTTAATTGCGCGCGTCAGTGGTTCAACATTCGAGAGGGATCTAATTAACGGAAGGAGGAGCGCGTATAACGATCGCTTCCACATGAAAATCCCGGCGTGTTTCGCCAGAGGACTTTAACGATCGCCGATTACCGGCGCGCCTGACATTGGCTACGTTTCAAAGCGATTGTGTATTCATGTTTCACCAGGCACAGAATTCGGCACGAGGATTCCGCGAACGCCGAGAAGGTTCAAATCCATTCCTGCACCTACAAGGGCTGCAACTTCAAGACGAAGCTCGGCTCGAATCTGCGGAGACACGTGCGTCTGCACACGGGTGCCAAACCATACAAGTGTCGACATTGTCCCTACGCCAGTAACACCTTGGTGAGTTATCGCCCGAATTATAAAATTATTTCTTATATCATCGAGTATCAACGCAAGGTTTAAATTGCCGCGCGAATAAAGAAGAACTTTTCCTCGGATTTATCTTAGATTCTGTATCTTAATTTGCGATCAGATTTTTTTAGCGGCGTTATTTATATAGAGGCGAAGGTCGCGAAACATTCGCGGTACTCTGTACAACTAAAACCAGTAGCACCGCGCATTCGCTTGTTACATTATATGTGCGTTTGCATACGAAAGACCTACCGCACGCACACGCACACGCTCTCTCTCTCTCTCTCTCTCGCGACGCGCGATCGTCATCGCGCGCGCGGGGTTCAAAGTCTTCGCAAAGCCTTCACGTCGCGGTGGCGGCGCGGCGACTCGGCGTTTGACTCGCGCGCCCCGCGCGATCCCGAAGTCTCGGCCGACGCGGGATCCAATTTTTGTCCGCGCCACGCCGGTGCCGAGCTCTCCGGTGGCGTAAATTAAGCAGAGTACAACCTTAACGTTTGGACCGCGCCGCCGCCTCTGCCGCCGCCATCGCCGCCGCCGCCGCCGCCGCCGCCGCCGCCGCCGCCGAGGCGCGATAAGATAACGAGTTAATTGTGCCCACTGGATGCCCACACGCACGCACGGCCCAGTCATACCGCGCGGCCGGTATGCTAATGCCCTTTGATGCTTGAGTCGGGATGCGACTCGCATACGAAGTCTCCGTGTCTCTTTGATATAGCGACATAAACTCATTCCAGTGGCTCTCATTCGCGTTCGCGAACGCATCGATCGGGCGATGTTGCGTACCGGTCTGAGAAATGATAAAGGCGTCTTATATATCGATACGATACACCTTGAAGCTGAAAAAAATGAATTCCTGCTTGGAGAGAGCAATAATTCTCTTTTGAATTAAAATTAAATAATAATCCTCTCCTGAAAGAGTATTAAATTAATTCGTTATTGCCAGCTCTTTTCTGCAATGCTGATTTCATCTTTTATTATAACTTTTTTTGTTACATTCTACAGTCTTAATTATTAAATTTAATCTTCTTATATAAAGAAAAAGACATATTTATGTAAATCATAAAAAAACCGGTTGTTTTAAATATAAGCCAATACATAATGTGTTCAGGATTTTTAAGATTTTGTTCTATTCTCGATTCTATAATATTATTTCGAAAATGTTATTAATTATAATAATATAATTTGACATACATATTATATACATGAAAATTAAATTCTCATATATAGCGACTCACGAAACTAATATCATTGTAAAACTCATATCATTATAGTTTATTTTTCATTAAACAGAACGTTCTCATCAATTTGTGGGGATGCTTTATATGCAGGATTGTGTATTAAGTCGATATTGAAAGACTATATCGACTCCTTTGAGTCAGTTAGCCGTAAACAATTGTTGTATAGTATGTTGAATCAGGATCATGAGTCACTATATCTACGGGAGATCGACGTCGTCTAATTACCCACTTCAAAGCATCGATAAATCGCCGACGACGTTCGCGCGACCAGAGCGGCGGAAAAAAGTAATCCGTCGGAAGGGATGCGTGTCCCGACTGCGAGTGGTATCCGGTCCGACGATAGCTGTTTGCACGGCACTTTAATAAGGAAGGAACGTGCGAGTGGCGCGCGGGACGATTTAACGAGGAAACTCTCTTCCACGTATAGAGGAGCGCGAGGCTCACCCCGCGCGTCGACGAGATTACGCGCGCTCGCTTTCCTTTCTCTTCCCTCTCGCTTCCCTTCGCGCTATGATTTACCTCGGACGGTTAGACGCCGCTTTTTGCCCGACCGATACTTCCGCCCTCGCCTCGCAACCATCGCTTCTCCCCCCCCCCCTGGCATCCCCGCCATCGGCAACGCCGGCACTTGGAAAACTTTCGTCGAGGGTGGTAAGTTTCCTCAAGCCGACACCAGTTAACATCGAATTCGGAACTTGCGTCCTGCTTCCCACATCGGTCGCCGAGAGTTGTCGAAAAGTCGCATCTTATTTCATCACGATAGACTACGCATGATCCGCGGTACACGAACATTGAGATAAAGTAACGCGTCGCGCATTTTGTAATAAAAATTAAAAAAATAATTCTATTATTTGTGAGCTAATGATAAAGATTTGCAAAAAAAATATAAAAATTTCAAACTGTAGATAATATTTGCGTTTATTCACGATACACTTATATTAATTTTTCTTAAACTAGATCCTATTTCAATCCTATTCAGTTCCTTCCTTACAGTTATTTTAATCGATTAAGCGAGGCAACGTTTTTTCAGTTTAATTAATCTAATTTCCTCGAACATGTTTAATTATAACTTGCCACATATAATAAGTAAAATAATTAGAACTTTTACGTTTCGTCGTCTAATATCTCTCACGCGTTTCCTGCTTGTCTTTTCCAAATTTACATCATCGTGCCTTCGAGTACATTTCGCGATCGCACAACTCGAACTAATGAGGACTTGTAGTTCGACATTATCAGATTATAACTCCAGGCTAATAATATTTTATTTTATTGAACCACGTAATACTGTTAGATGTGATTAAATATTTTATTTATTTATAAAATATTTAGCAAGAGAGGAAAGAGAGGAAAAGTGGTGAATGAACCGAATGGACCCTGATCGACGCGTTGATATGGGTTAAGGTCTCATTTCTCCCTTTCCCTTTCTCTTTCTCTTAATTTTACGACCTATAATATTCGCGCAGCCGAGGCTGCAGTCAGTATGCTCCGACGATTTTTGCACATCAATGATAATGACTTACGTCGTAATTGTAATTGACCGCGTTTTTTCTTTTTTGCAGAAAAGAACTGATATCGGGCATAGCGTAAAACACGCGAAAAGATTGAAATATGGTTTGCGTCAGATGCAGATGTGCCAGACATCGTAAAAAGTTTCAGAGGGGTACAGAATTATCTCTTGTTACACAATTTGTTTCTGGGTAGAAGTACAAAATTATTTATTATTCGTCACTCGATAAATTCTGGCCTATAATACGCGGTGGTAGAAATGTTAGAGTTTCAGACATTCAACTAACAGGCTTTCTGCCAAGTAATATATTAAAGAACAGAATACATTTCTTCTAATATCCTCTTGCCTCTAACATCTTTCTCTAACATCTTCTTGCTGCTTCCGCGAGGTAAGCCGAAAATTATTAGGCTCGTAAAGTCACCATCCACTCCCGGCGGTCGTAAATACGCGCCGCGCCATACGTCCTTCCGTCTCGGCCGGCCTACGGGTAGCGGCGCGCGGTATTCCTCGATACGCAAGTACGAGGGAAGGTGGAAATTAAACTCTCGCGGCAAAATCCGAATCGGTCCAACGAAATCGGCGCCTCACGCCAGCAGATTTGCGTGACGGCGCGCGTCCGCTCCACGGCCGATCCGCGCGACCGCCCACGGCGGTGTGAACGAGGCTTAATCCGCGCCGCCCGTCATGGAGCGGTGCCCGCGGAAAGATTTACTTATGGGAAATTAAATTTGATGTTGCCGCGCGTTGCCATCAGCGGCTCGTACAAGCCCGCCTGGTAGGAAGATGTTTACGACTACGGCCGGCTACTTAGACCCGGAGAGGGTTAAAGCGCCTTTTAAACGCGCCAACACGCGTAACGCCAATGAACGTGTGCGTCCGGTTTTGCGGCGAATCGATTCTTTGGACGCACACCACCGGGAACGTATCCGAGATGTATTCAACGAATGCAAACACTCGATTCGGTGCGAGGCTTGATCTCGCGCGCGCCGCGCTGGATTCGTGGCGAAAGATACCCTTTGTGTGTATGTATACGTGCGCGAACATCGAGCTCGAATGAAATTTTAATAGCGACGCCCGAACGGCAGGTAGACTCATTCGGTGGAGCTCGATGGGAATCGGAGGGAGAGAATCCGCGTAAATGATCGAGCGGCGTGCTCGTGAAACGTGCCCGATTTGTCTAATAAAAGCCGTTAGAATATGAGAATATCGATTATTGATTGGCTATATTAATTACGCGACCGCTAGAAACCGGGAACTTTTACCGATTGTCAACAGTCTTCATTATCAGATGTCTAGTCTAATTAATTAAACTAATTAATTGTTTTTTTATTTTTAATTGTAGAGATACATCTAATTAATTGTTTTCGTTGTTGTTTAGATTATGGATAATTCTTGTGTTCGCAGGAAAATCTTCGGAAACACATACTGTCGACGAATCTGCATCCGGGTAAGACGATCTACGAGTGCGACTTTTGCAAGAAGAAGAAGGAAAAAGAGACGGATCCGTTCTGCACGAATTTCGCCAAGGAACTTCGTGCTCACTTACTGGAAGTTCACGCTGAAGACTTCCCGACACCAAATGATGCGAACAACTACACGAATAACATTTTTAGACCAAATTAATCAAAAAAAGGTAAAAAATGTTTAAAGATTTTATTTGAATCAGCCATTTATACGTATATACTATGTACTGAATTTATATAAGTATATTAATCCACATATCTAAACGATCTTTTAACTTTCCTTGCGATTCTACAGCCTTGCTCATAAATATAAAGCATCCTCAATTTATTATATTTTCCAGCAAAAAGACGGTAATAAAAGCTAAAAGTGGACTAACTAAATGTTAAAATCGTTATTAAAATTAATATTATTTTTTAATAAAATTGTTTTTTAATTTATTTTTCGTTAGAATTTTGACAGAATGTTACGTCAATTTTTGAAGATGCTTTATTTTTATAACCAAGACTATATACCTTTCTTATCTTTTTTTTTATTGTGGCAAAAGGAAAAGATCGTCATACTCCGTCACATAAATATTCTTTAATTAACATCGCGTGATACCGCAAAAATAATATTCACGACTCAACGTTGATGATTATCGAGATAACTTGAGGTACATTAATCCGTTTCTTCTAAACTGTCATCGACGGCATCGTGCAGCTCGCGTCTCGCTGGCTCTCCGCACTCCGGGATTTCTCGGAAAAGACGAGCACCGTCCTTCGCGGGCGCGTGAGCCAGGCAGAATTGTACCGAGTCAGGAAGTAGTTAAAGTGATGTACGGTCACGTGGCACGGTATGTAACTCGGACACGTATAGGATCGGATCTTTATGCTCGGTGCACGACATTATACCGTACCGGGACATTACGGTAGGATCTCGCGCGCCGCCGTCCACCTGCGTGGTGCATGTTTCTACCGGAGTGTGAACGCGCATTTACAACGATCAGCACAAGAATTCGAAGATAATTGCACGATCTGTGCCTTGTGCGTTTCACTCATCCCGTTCGTGTGTGTGAATCCGAAGAAACGACATGGCCGGTTCGGTCGTCGCCGCAGCGAAGACCTATATAACAATACAGGTGCGAATATATTAGTTTTTGCTTTCCGCATTTAATTCTTGCTATACACAGGCTGTTTCTTATAGCGCCAGGACTGGCTACCTCGACGCTTTCGTCGAAACAGGTTCGCGCGCGAGGATCTATTTTCGTCGTGATCGACCGTCATCTCGCTATCAGGACGCATTCCCGCGAGACGCCAATGAGCCTCTCGCCGAGAGAACGACGGCGCAGCGTTCCGCGTGCGACGCGATTCACGGACCACCTCGTAGATCGTCCGTACGACGACGTGCGTTTTTCGTCTTTCAGGGGCCGGCGGCGCTGATTGTGAGAAATGCATCGCGCGCTGTCGCGTGAGATAGGTGTCGTAAAGTATGCGGCGATCCTCTAGAGCGATCCCGGAGATGTGAAGAGACGCGGTGGTGGCGAGCGAGCGGAAGGACCGACCACGGGCGTCGTGAGCGCGAAGGATAATTTATTGACTAATTAACGAGGATGTCCTTCATTACGGGTCGGCCGGCAGTCGTGGTCGCTTGCTCTCGCTCGGAACCGGCATTATTTGGCGCCCGAATATTTACGACCGCGTCCTCCTTCTGGACCGGCCCGATACCGCCCGCGAGCGAGCGAGAAAGAGAGAGAGAGAGAGAGAGAGGCGCAGGAGCGCGGACCCATAACGATGCGTTCCGATCTTACGGCGATTCGGGGAGCTGGAATTTCCTCCGCAACACCCGCCGAAGAGGACCCGTTGGTATATATCGACACGATCCTGAGACTCGCGGGCGTTACCTCAGTGGACAAAGGGTCGCGATTAAATCCTAAGGAGGTTGCTCTCGCGCTGCTGATTTCTCCGCTGTCGAAAAGAGGTTAAGGCTATCCGATTTTAATGAAAACCGGAGGTTGAGTGACACTTCGCTCAATCGTATGGGAGGTCCTCCTGAAAAGATTTATGCGTGAATTGGAAAGGGAAACTGGTATTTGTATCTATATATCTACAATAAATTCGCTGTTAAGGCGAAAATTGAAAAAAAAATAACTTAACAAGTATAATATGAGTTTAATAAACATAATAAATATATCGATTAAATTGCACATATTGTCCCAAGCTAACTAAACTTTCGAGTAATTAAAATTAATGATTTAAATGTTAAACGTATAAATAATACATTAGGATATATTAAAATGTGTTAATGACATAGGTATTAAGATTTTAAAGAAAAATGGTATCATTTTTTAGAAATCACTACAAGAAATATCATAAAATTCTGTTATAATTCTTTAAATCTCTTCTCTCTATAGATTTCTTCGAGAGACAAAAATTCATCTTAATAAAAATTGTCCTGCTTCAAATAAGTAATAATCGCAAAATCAAATACGAAATTACATAATAGGAAAAAAAATGTTGAAAAGATGTCGTATTATCGTTGTATTAACATGAAGAAAGACGCCAATTTGTGGCTTGCTCGTCCTTCTAGCGTCTTTATGCGACTACGTCACGGAGAGCGGAGAAACCGATATGTAGAAAGAAGAAGTTAACGTGAAATTAGCGCGGGCTGCGAAGTGCTAAGAAGTCGCGCGACAGGACGGTTAGGTATACTGCTTAATGAAGATATAACGTGCCGGCTCCCCGTGGGGTTGGTAGAACCGTCGCCGGCACTGGGACGCCCCTCGTTTTCATTTCCCGACGTGTCCTCGTCGCGTTACCGTACAGCAGCCCCTTCGCAGCCTCAGGTTACGCCGGGACATGCTCATCCTCTTTACGATCCACGCCAGCGTCGCGACTCGCGAAATTTCGCGGACTTTATTCCCTCAATTACACTTGGAAAGTTATATCGATGGCATAGGAGCCCGCGCATTCACAATAGCGCGCTCATCCGAGCGCTCGCGCACGCGCCCGTTTCGCTGATCGTAAAAATTAATCCTCTTTTTCGTCGTTGAATTTTTCGACGAGAGAACATTATTACATTTTATTCGAAATACAATTATTAATCTTGATCAAATATTTGATTATGTAGCAACTAAAAAGACAAGCTAAATAAACAATGTAGTGTTCAGGTAGCAAATTGCGATAAAGAATCGAAAAATTCATGCCGTGAAATTGAACATAAAGTATTGTGATTATTATATGTACAAGATGGGATCTCGTTAGTTTTAATGTGAAAATCATCAACGTTAATATTCGCGGATTAAAGGATGGCAATAAATACGTTTTACTTGAAGAAAGAATTTGCTTGACGCAAAATAGGGATCCGCTCCGATGTTTATCTGGATACACAAATTAAACGACTCGCTTCCATTATACGATCTCGTCAAGCGTGCGAGATATATATACATATACGCGCGTAGAAGTCGCTTATATCATGGGTACAACGAGCGCGTTATTTCAATAACGAGCGCACTTCCTACATGAACACCTGTGTCACACACCTCGACACGTCCCTTATATCTTATCTAGAAAAACCGCCATAAATTACGGGCGAGTTCGATTCCGTAGGTAGCGCAGTTAATCACCGGGTGATTGATCGCGCCGCGGTTTTATCCAGATGAATTCACGCAATATCTTCTACCGCGGCGATGGCGGCGGCGGTAGTGGAGCCCTCGCACATGGCGCGATACTTCCGCGCGTCCCTTTTATTTTCTCGGATCCACCCACACACACCCTGTCTCTTCCTTTCCCCACGAGACACGCGGGAAGGCGAACACAAAGCGTGGACCCTTACCGATTACGCATTGATCCTCATCTCTCCCTCCCGCCCTTCCCCCCCCCCGCGAGAATTCCGCTGGAGAATTCCGTCGTGGTCGCGGGTCCAGGACGATATATCTTGCGCGTCCGCGTGGCGCGGACGTGGCCTCGCGTGTCTACACGCGCGCGAGACCGATGTCGCGTCGTCGCGAGGAGACAGCGGGTGTCGGACCGCGCGCCGAAACGTCGTCTTAATTATCAGCCACGCTGTTATTTATACCGCGACGCTCGACCGATGACATCTCGGGTTGGGGGCACCCGATACACGCGCGACACCCTCGCGGGTGCACTCGCCCGCGGTGCGGGACCGGATCGTCACCCACACCATTAACCTGCAGCCGGCCGCGGATGATGTACGCACCAGTTTTCGAGCTCGCCCCGGGAGCGCCGTCGTTCCGCGACGGTTAATGAAGTCCTTCCGAGACGGACGTCGGAAATTATCGTCCGACGTTTGGAGATCGGGAGGCGGAGACGCAATGTATCGCTGCTGATGATACGTTTGCGTCCGAAAACGCGGGACACGCAAAGAGCGCTCGCGAACCGTCTGTCTGCAATCTCGAGAAACTCGAGAAGTCCGTAGAGCAAGATATAATCCTTATATTTTAGAAGGATAGATGAGTCATAGTTCTGCAATGATTCTGTTATTAATTTTTTTCTAGAACTGACGAATATTCAATTTGGTAATTTCCTATCCTCGTTTTCGATTATTTTGATATCAGGTTGGTCAGTCGAGAAGTAGAGTCAAAGAAATTACCATTGTGAGGCAGATTTCGGGATACGGGGGAATAGATTTCTCACGGAACCATCGTCAGCCTCCACCAATTTGGCCAAGTAGTGGCCAAGGCTTAAAATACGAAAATATTTCCTGACCTAATTATTTATATTAAATTATTTATATCTTACTATCCTCCTATTCCAACCTAATATTATTCATATCATTAGAATTATTTGTATTATATTCATATATTTTTAATAATTTGTAAATATACAAAAAAAAGGAAAAAGTTTAAATGATTAGCGGAAAGTGCCAAAGTGGTACTTCTATTGATAATACTAATATTAATATCCTTACATCTGGACGTTTACTTAAATATAAGACGATAGCTAAAAGTTAAATGCAATTTCGAACTAAGCTAAAGGAGGGAAAACCGGTTAATTAGAAACAGAGGAATATTAATTCGTTCAATCTAGTGCATGTATAGCTGGATAGAAATCGACAGACTCGACCAATGCGGATCTCGGCCCAATTAATATTGCATCATTTGTATCCTGTACAGCAATACGTACCCGTCGAGTCGTAACGCCAATGATAATCCATCTTGGCGTTAAACAAATGCAAAACAAATGCGCATCCTTCCCTATTGCGGTTTATACAATTAAGCGACGATATTAATTACCGCGGCGTCAAAAATATCGATGCCTACTTCCCTCAGAAGAGATTACACCGGGCATCGTAGAATCTGGTTAATTAAGCGCGCGCTATGCACGTCCTGCAAAAGTCATTTATCGAATCAAATGACGCGAGATATTCGGATCCGCGCAAACGTAATGACCACTGTCGGTATCGTTTCTATATCGCTCGGCAAATTAATTATAAAAGAATTCTTTTCCCGATCCCGATTCGGATTCAGATACCAGGATGGACGAGCGCGCGGCCGTTGAACGAATCGTTTCTTAAGTATTCGCGCTTATCTCTACGGTCGTATAACACATATTATTTCCCACAAAAATTGGGATACGGTGCTATATACCATGCTTTTATAATAATCCCGCAGTTACGGGTCGAAGTGGTCATTTGCCAGAGTTAGCGATTGGATCATATCGAGACTCGTGAATGCGCATTGATTCGGTCGCATCCTTAATGTCGCGACACAAGAAGACGCGAGGGGAGGAGTCCTCCGCAGCAGAGTGGCGAGAGAGAGAGAGAGAGTGTGAGAGGGGCGGGAGGGGGGGGGGAGAGGCCGACTTGCCAGGCGGGCGAAGGGGCCCTACCGAGGATTGATGGCCACCACCTTTAATGCCGTTTGTATGTAGCGGCGCGAGTAAGCGCCTCGCCTTACAGTAATTAGCTCAACAAACGCGCCACCCTGTCCCATCAATTGCTACCCTACGCTCGCTCGACCCATCTCTGTCTCTCTCTCTCTCTCTCTCCCTCCCGATCTCGCATACACACACGCACTCATGACTCCTCTCTCATTCTCACGCAACGAGGCCCTCTCCCGCGTATCTTGAATTAAACATTCGATGCCTGCTGTCTACTTGTCGTGCGTGCGTTCGCGCGCCCGCGCGAGTTCGCCTCTTATACGCCGGGAATGCAAATGCGCCGCATGTGCGTGTGCCTGCGTACGTGTTTGAATGTGCGCGAGGGGTGAGGGGTTATCCCCGACGAATTAAAGGACGCGCCGAAACCCGATTGAAAAACCACGATCCGCGTGCGTGCGCACCGTGCGTCCGTCCCTCTCTTTCTCTCTTCAAGCTCTCTTTCGGCTTTCTGCTTGTTTTACCGCTCGCGTCGTTCGCGCGAGGATTTAAGAGCGCGTCCACGCATCCGAAACAGCTCGGACTTTTTGCTTCGCGCTGCCGTGTGCGGCGACGATATCTTGTTCCGAGCGTGTTACGCTAATCGTGAGTTATCGAATGCCGGTGAACGTCCTCGCGATCAACGTCGCGTGTCGACCTTAAGCAGATCGCGAAATACCACAGTAATCGATTTCGCATAAACTGCCATAATCGATCTCGATTATGCAAGTATCCCTAATATTGCGTGCAAGACTTTTCGTTTTTCTAAATAATTTTTTAATTACTTTAGTGCATTCAATTGGTAATGCGATTGATGTAGTAAGAAAACTTAAATTTTAATTCGTTGCATTTCTTGTCCTTCCTGCGAACGTTTTAACAGCGACACAAAAACGATCTCTTCAGGTTTATATTCATATAAACACAATAAAATCTGTATTTCTCTCTATATCTATTTCAAAATTATCTTTCTTAAATTTCGTTTCTATTCATCGGCAAATATATTTTTTTTTTAATTTATTAAAATAATTGTACATAAAGTGCGTGTATACTAAAAGAAAGAGAGAGAAAAAGAGAAGAGAGAAAAGAAGGAAAGAAAAAGAGAGAGAAGAAGACAGAGAATTATTAAAAAATTTCAAGCCAATAAAACAATGCATAGCGGACAATAGTGCGCAAGCAATATAAATATTGTAACAATTTGCATTAAATAATAATAATTTGCTTCACCACGTTATTTTGTTTCGTTATGATACGTCGCTTTATTTCCGTGCAAAATGACTTGCGTCACGAACACGTCCTGTCTCAAATATACATGTGTACCTCGCGTGTGCGCCGACATGGGACGAGCGGATAATTCTCGTAAATTTTTAGAGGGTGTGTAATAACATGTTTGTTGTCACCCAATAATCGTCAACGACGCGATGTATGACGGCGTGCCGCGAATATGACTTGGGGTTAACGCGCGAGACGCCACCACGGAGGATTTCCCGATGACGTCTCCCCCGAGAGTCTCGAATGCCTCCGCGTCCGTTCTGTATTCTTTATCGTCGACTCGGAATGCTTGATAACATTCGATTTGTTTCAATCGTAAATATCAAGGCCGCGCAATATGGACCCTCCCCCCCCCCTTCCCCCCTTCCCGCCCCTCTTCGGAGTGAGCGCGCGCGAGCACACAGGGGTCCGCAGGATTGCGGGGTACACGTGCAGGCACGTACACAACATGCGGAATGCATTCTGCAATAATTGCGTCACGCGTTCCAACAGGAATGATTATTAAACGCAGTCAAGTCGTTTGAATGATTTACACTAAACGCAATTTCTCGCTGCGAGATCAATGTCGTTCTCTTTCTTATACATTTAAGTTTTTTATTTAATTATGTTATAAATAATGTTTTACATACATACACACACACACACACACACACACACACACACACACACACACACACACACACATTAACGGTTTTATATTTATGCATGTGAAGACGTTAAGAATATTTATGCATATAAGGCATTTAGAATATTTACAGAATATTAATGTTATGGATATGTGAGGTATAAGAAAATATTCTATTTTAAATATTTAAATTGTAGATATTTAATTGTACAAGAAAACAAGTCCCGGATGCGCGGGTGCTGATAAATTTAAGGGGGAAAGGGACTGATGCATCTGCGATCCATGCGTCTTCTTAAAAACGACCGGTCTGACACTTCGCGGCAGTTGGCTCTCAGGCTCTCTTACCCGAGATCGCGCATAATCCTTGGATCGATAGGACGCTCCCAGGGAGAGGCATAAGGCGCAGTTCGAGGGCCGATACGTCCCCGAGTCGCAAACGAGAAGAATCCCCGAAACGCGGCCTCTTATAAATCCATCTTTTTTTTTTTTTTTACTCCGAGACCAGCCTTCCCCGAAAGTCGGGGCGGGGGTGCGGGGGGGGGGGGAGGGAGAGGGGAGAGACAGGGGCAGAGCAGAGAGAAGGTTTGGGCCCGCGGTGATTTAAGGGCGTCGCGTTACGTGTATCACACCGCGTCCATTGCAAGAGAGACCACGAAGAAGACGAAGGTATATACGGTGTTGCCTCCACCGATTCCCGCTCCGAACCGACGTGGATATGTGTGAGTTCGCTTCCCCGGTCTCTCGCCTTGGTCTCTCCCTGTGTCCGTCTTGGTGCGGTAGCACGGACCCATAGGCATACATTCCGGCGGTATATATACGCATTCGGCGATCGTAGAAACGCACACTGGGCCCAAACGATCCAGTTGAGTTGATTTGTGGCTATCAGGGTGTCGCGGCCGGGATGCTTTATGAACCGATCAGCTCGTTCCGATCCAAACCCCATACGGGCCCCCATAAATGTCGTCGTTTCGGATAAGCGTCGCTCCGCAAACCCCGGAGTGCGCGCGCGAGTGCGGTTTGCGCGTGACGCATGCGGCTGTTGGAGTCACCGCGCCGATGGCAGTAAAGATCGAATTATCGTCATTCGAGAACGGATGTACTTGTCTCCCGTCTCGTTAATAAAATTGTAGAATTTATATTCTAGAATTTCCATAAATACGCAATACTTTTCTTCAAAAGATAATAACATATATTATACATAAATTAAAAATCTTGATAAATCAGTATAAAGGACAACGCTCGCATATATGTATAGCAAACGCTTAAAATTTCAATTTCAAAATAAATTTGACCTAATCATTGCGACTCGTGCGTTCACATCTCCCAACAATTTGCACCAATATTTCTCAATTCACGGAACATTTTCGAAATATTTAATTCTCGATGAATAATTCAAATTTCTCGACATACGTTATGCGGAGAGATAATTTGATAGTCAAATAGATTTTTTTCCAGATCGAAAAGTGTCTTCGGAAATTGTGACCGAAATTATTTCCACGATCCACCGGCGAGCTTTCGCCGCGGCACGAGCGATAATGTATGCGGCAAAGATCCAGAAGAGACGATTCGTAGTACGATACTAGCAGTCGAGAAAAGCCTGACTCCTGGAGAACGGTAAAGTTAGGTTGGTCCGGAGTGGCTCGGCTGCTCGCTCGCCTTCGTACGCGGATTTCTACGTAAACTCGCTCGCCAGATACGATCTGCGGGGCCCTGGTGCGTTCGATCCTCGTGAACTTCGATGCTCGCCCGCCTATATATATATATGTGTATAAACGTGGATTAGGTCGCTCTCGGGACTATCGATGCATTCGATGCTTTGTCAGGTATACCTCGGAACAGGCATACCTGATGATAAACTCGCCGTACATTCAGGAAACTATATTGAAATTAAATGTATTAACAAAAGTACAAGCAAATAAAAAATTCTCGAGTTTTTGGCATGATATTTTTATCGAAATTTTGATACCTCATTTACCGCTAAATTAGTTTTCTTTTTGGAATATTATCATATTTCATTTTGATGTAAGGTTCGTTATTTATTCGTGATATTTTTTTAATTTAATATACGTTGTGATAAATTATTCGCATTTTCATGATCGCGTCAGCTCTGTCTTTCGTGGTTGTATATATTATCATACACCGGCAGAGCGCTAGCATCTAAAGAATCAATTTTTAGCGAGCGTGTTTCTTTCTTCGTACAAATGAGGATATATCGCTGCTTTCATAAAAGAAGAAGGTTGACTTGTGTATATTAATTTCTTTGCAAATAAATTTTTTATATCTTCTTCACTGCGGTCACTGTATTAGTGTATTCGATCACGCGAGCGAGCCAACAGACTAAAGCATCAATTAAGTATCTGGGAACTTTCTACTGCGCATAATAACTTCATCTCAGTTTCGCAAGGACAGTGCCACTGTATCTCGTAAGGAGCAGTATCTCCTGATTAATTATCATAACGATGCAATTTGTATCGCGCTTAAAAAAGGTCTGGCGACTCTCTTAGAGACGCGATAACTAGCGTACGTTTCTAAGGAACGAAATATCTCGGGCTTAAGACACCGGTATCAAGTGTCTCTCCGCCGCTTTGAAATGATATAATCCCCTAAATGATCCTGTGATCGGGACGCATAAATCCGCGGCGTTTATGCAGCGCAACAGTGCGCGAGCACGCCCACGGTTTTCTCCCTTCATATCTTCGATTTGTCAAACGAGGAGCGCGGGCATAAGAGTTCCCGAGAGAGGGGTCCATCTTTCTTGGTTAGCCGTCGAGCGCGATTTAAGAAGAGCGTTGTGGGAACATCGGGGATACACACGCGAGCACGCCTGCAGACTCTGGTGGCGAAAGTCCGGGGAAGTTGTACGGGGGAAAGGAAGACGCGCTAAGGCTCGAGGTAACCTGCAACGGGTGTGCGTTTGCCTCGTGACAGGACGGTCACGATCGGGACAGCCACCGCCCGTTGTCCCGGGATCCAGGAGCAAGGAGTATCTTATTATCCTATCCGGGCAACCACACGGTGACAGCCCTTATAAGGATCGTACCTGCCGTGGACTACAACGCGTGTGGAGAACTGCAGGCGACCGCGGCGGCGAACTCGGTAGCGAAGCCGCGCAGTTTCGCACGGCGCTACATGATCACGTGAAAAAAAAAAAGAAAGAACAAGGAAGAAAAATCCAGCTATCCCCATTAGCATCGGTCGAGCCGATCATTACAATGCGCGCCGGTAATAGGCCATTATACCGAGCGGCGCATAAATTCAATATGATCACCCGGGTTAACTCGAGGTTGCGGTTTAAGGAACGGTACCAAGGGCTGAATCTGTCACACGAGAACCGATTTCAGCGCACGATCCACGTTCGGGTAGATTTTTATTTCCGCGCGGTCAACCGTGACAAAGCAAACATTTTAAATTCATTTCGCTTTCGAATCTCATTTTTCTGTAAGCTTGAGACGTGAAATATGTAAAGAAAGGATACGACGAGAGAGACATAGATTAATAATCACACGATTATATTTTGCTGATTCGCCCGGCATCAAACAAAGATCGGGATTTCCTCAAAATTCGTTGATCGGTCCTCAGAAAGGAAAACCTTGAACCTGCTCGGCAGGTCGACGTATATGCGAAGCCACGTGTTTCTGCTTGTCTTGGGTGTTAAATCACAGCCAAGGTCGTCCAGGCTCCTCGCCATCAGTGAAAGAAATCCCTCCGCGCGGCCGGTCGGAGGGACCAGGACGATCCCCGTCTGGGGATATATACAGAGAGTTCGTTTGTCCCTCAAGGAGCGCTTCTCTCCTCGACGAACGAGCGATCCGTTACGTCGAGCACTCTAAAGACCCACTTTAATCACGATCGCCGGAAACATCGGCGCGATCGTGATCCATCGATCGGCTCGGCCGGGACGTGTTTACGTGTTCGCTCGCGTCGTTACCTTATGCTAATCGATGCCTACACCTGTCGAGCGACGTGCCCGGACGTTTAAACGACTCCCCCGTCTGAATTATTCGCGACCGAAAGTGCCGTCGTCGCATTCCTCTTTTTTTTTCGAGCCCAGGCGCCTCTCTCTATACGCTCCCCCTTCCTCCCCACTTCTCCTCCATTTCTTTCTCCATCTCTTTCTCTATCGCTCCTCCGCAATCGATATTCCGCCGAATAGAATGCAAGACACGCGCGTTTCGATGTCAATTTGACCTCATTAAAGAAATGTACGAACTGACCGGCGAGCTTATTGCACGTCGATGGAGTCTATTTAATGCTCGTCGCAAACGTAATCGAACGAATCCACGTAGGTCTAAAAAAAAATTGCATATAAATGTTTCTCGGAAAATATACGCACATGCATGTCCGCATCTGTGCTTCGCAAATCTTTGCTTCGCAACTTTATGATTTATCGTTTCGTATAAAAGTATTTGTTGGACTCGCAAGATGTATGTTCACGCTGATACCGCCGGTATTCATTTAACTTAGATCCTCTTTTAAATTCACTGAATGTGGCTCCGCACATGCGTGAACAAACAGTGATTTAATGTGCGTCTTCTAGCAAGATTTAATTTCTAACAGGTTTAATTACGATCATCCGTTTCGTTCGTTCGTTCGTTCGCGAGCGCCTCGGTGCACCGCACACCCTCGACGGTGCACCGCCGTCGCCGATCGCTTAGGCGGCGGCGGCGGCGTTTAAGAAACTCGAATCCAGCGCGTGGCTTTTTCCTATACGTCTGTTAAAATTATTACGACGCGAGAGTTACTGCGTTCTTGGCTTATCTGAAACGTATTACGTAGAGTGCAGGCGGTAGCGAGGCGACCGTTCGTTACGATGAGGCACGGCATCAACCATCGGCTGTTACGATCGGATTATATGTGCGCCCCGAGTTTCCCGGTAAATCTACACCGAACACCTCCCACCTCCCCCCCTCCCAAGATATCGATTTAAGATTACAGCGATTCGTGAATCGGTCTTTGCAGTCGATCTTGTTGGGAAATCCTTGCGGCCTCGATTCAACCCCGGGCGGCGGCAACTGAACGGCGTTATTTCGCGATCGGTACGATCGGACGATTTTATGGAGGTAAGCAACGGAGGTAAAAAAAGAACAGTCATTTATTTTGAACATTAATAAATATCACATTAGGAATATCCGTCGATATAAACTGACAATAAAACCTGAAACCCTGCCTGGATGTAATTGAATTGGTATACAAAATACTCCTCGTAAATTCCATATTTATTCGTACCAATCATGTAATTGAACGCACTTGCTCGATTTGACGCTTTATAAGGTCGTTAATTTTCAGTACCGATGTTGCTAGTCGCTATGTTCTTTTCGAGGGACAATTGTGTTCCTTCGGCAGCCCGGTAAAGATACTTCGGTGTTCGTTGGCGCGGTAATGATCCTTTCGTGGATCATCAACGTTGTGACGACCACTGAACGTGCATGTGCCGGTTGGGGTGGGATGAGTCCAGCCGAGCTAAGGGACGGAGGTCCTCCTCGCAAAGGGGCAACGGGCGAAAAACAGTGGTTGGGTACATTATATGCAGAACAGGGTGCACCATACTGTGCTCGAGAATCTCGTGGTAAGGACATGAGACGAGAGGACGCGGAGCGAAAGGAAACGAAGAAGGCATAGAGAGAAAGAGAGAGGGACGAGCGCGCGAGAAGATACGAGACAGGGGAGAAAAAGAGAGAGACAGAGATTAGGAAAGTATACCAGAGAGACGAAGAAGAGTCGGAGGAGGAGGAGAAGATAGCCACTGGGCAGTCTCCTCGCGCCAGGATTTATATCACGGTGCCTGCACTCACACACGGCTACATCTGACTTATGCAAAGTGCGGACCCCGACGTCCCCCAGCGCCCAAATAAATGTCACCAGGAAACAAAAACGCTCTCCCTACCCCTCTGTACTCTTCGCTGACTGTAGGCCCGCGCGTAAGCAGACCCGTACAGCTTGGTGCGCGGACCCCGCGCGCGAGATTCTTCCACCGCGTGTCTTCCTTCGCTTCCTTCCCTTCGCCCTCTCCCCATCTGCATTCGCGTTCCCTCCCCCGCTCCCATCGTCGAGAAAGGGCCAACCATATTTCAATGACGTCATTGGTACAAAAGCGCGCGCGCGCGTGTGGAGGGCTGGCGAGGCCGCGCGACTCGCAAAGTGCTATGTAGAGGGGCACCAGAACTGGCCGGATTTACTCGCGCGGTGACAAAGCACCTGCTGTCCCTCGCTGCCGTGCCTCGCTCTCGCCTTCCTCAAGCTCGCCTGCCTCTCGTCTGTTACTGCCTATTCTTCTACCGTCTCTCCTCTTCTCCTCCTCCTCTTCTTCTTCGTCTTCTTGTTCGGTACTGCCGCATCTTCCTCCGCTGGGCCTTACCTCTTCGCTCGTTCTGGTATCGCGCCGCTTCCATATGGAAGCTCGTCCCCATTGTTCGAAGAGCCGACCTTCTGCCTGCGCCTACTTGTCGAGAGTTACTGCGCTTATTCGCCAAAGGATATCCATTTCGTCAAGATTCTTCGGTGTCTTTTAGTCGCCGTTCAGACTAGGCATTGTAAATCGCAA